ACCTCAAAGTCTCCAAATCTTCTAATATATTGGATGTCTTAGTAGTGATGAGAACACAATACAGTTTATCCATAAGAGCCTGATATACATATCGCACCTAAAAATGACAATTCATTGAGTTATGAATCGCACCAACAGTTCACCGAATCACGAGTTATGACATACGGTGTCGGTCTCAATGAATGTGTGTTGTTTATCCTTGGTGATGAGCTTGGTGAATGCTGTCAACAGACCTGTCAACCATACAAACGGCGTGAGTGACATGACATGAGTGGTCACTATATACGATACCTTCAATCCTGGATCGGGTCATCTCCACGAACTGTCGCGACAATAGGATCTTTCCGTTCACTTTCGACACCACACCAGAAGCTAACAGCACCTGAAGAATGGCATCAATCGGTTAATTCACACTTCAGTTGCCACTCATTGTAAACAAACCATAATTTAATGATTGATTCAAAGCCACGTCAGCCAAGAGTTGGTCTCAATTAATGCAAACAAATTATATTCAATTCAATCAATCGATGTAACCGTCGATTGTATCCAATCTTATGATCAAACGATTGGTTCAATGAATGAGTCGTTAAATATGAAACAATTAACTAAACAATTGTTAAGTTTTTATCACAGTTTGTGTCACTGTTTTCACCACACGTTTCAATGGATAGGGATGTGAGCCGTGAGTCTCATGTGATTCCCGAAACTGCATTCACGGCCGAGACTTTCAATTTGGTTCACATTTTTACAATTAATTTACAATTAATTTTGTATTTTCCGATAAGTAGGCAACAAATTGTGTCACAATCACAGAGTTTTAAAACTTATTGCTACAATAAGCTATGATTCTGTAGTTTATAATATATGGTCAATATTCTATTATTTAGAACTAACTTCACTTGGTCATCATATTACTTAATTTAAAATATTGTACATACTGTGCAATTAAACTAATAGGTAATTAAATAGAAATTATTGTATATAGATATATTTTTACGAAAAAACTTGACTTGTAAGTTTTCAACTTTTTCAAAAATTAATTTAATTATTGAAAATGTACCGGAATAAATTTTTAATAAGTGTGGGTACTAGCCAGGTCTTACATTACTCTACAATGTAGAGTCTATATGGATATGTGTATAAGCTAAATTACACTATTACCTTTAAATAAATGTATAATTAGATGTTGCATAGCCATTGAATACTTGGACTGTATTTGTTTCATGTATGTGTAGTGCATAAACGGGTTGGAGTGTGGAGTGTGTGGCGAATGGAGTGATGATTGCTGTGAAGACCTCTATATGTGGGTTAGTATTGGAGTAATTGATAGACTGATGAACGCCATGATTGCAATGAATGCAAATGATATGGAATAGTATTATTGGATGGAGTAATACAGGCTATAGAGTGGATACT